GATGCATCTTTTTTTACCTTTACAATGTCCATGTCTACTACAGTAGCAAAAACCAGATAAAAGAAAGCTTACCGAAACATTTGCTTACACCAGTGGCCTTGTCTACGAAAACCTTTGCGCTTAGAACCATACCGAAAGGTTGAAATGCATTCGCGAGTTCTTGATCTCCAAATTCCCGAGGTATGTTATAGATAAACAGATTCGCACCTTCCGGACCTGAAGAAACCAAATCAATGTATCAGGTCTAAAGGAATGGTAGAGAAAAGGATTTTTATATTTAAGACTAACCTTCGGTTTGAACCACGGAATTCAAACCAATGCCTATAGGTGTTGACCCGCTACTGTTGGCAATGCCGGGTGATATGGATCCATGAGAGTTATTTAGAGGGCGGGGACTCATGATTCCTCTAGGATAAGCCAATGGATAAGGAAGTCCTCGTACAGCGGGATAACCAGAGCCCACGTAATTTGCAGGAGGTAACGGAAAGTTTCTACGGGCCAAACGAGGTGGCACAGAGTCAGGCGACAAATTGTTATTACCTTGGTTTGGTTGTGCAATCATATTGGGAAATGCAGCTTGGTTCTGAATTGGTGGTAGCATGTAACCATAAGTTCCAGGGGCCTGCTACAGAATTGGTAAAGGAGAATATTTATCAATTACAAGATGGATAAAAGCAAGTTTTATATAGCTTAAACTAATACAACAACATTAGGCTTGCTTGCTTACATGATAACCATATCCATTGTATGGTGGAACATAACTTATGGGTAATGCTCCAAACAATGAGGGATTTGTTGGATCAGTGTTAGCTAATCGAGCGATGTGAGATTGAGCCTTTTGAAGTCTTCTTGTGTGTCGTTCCCTTTCTGTATCTGCCCATTTGACAACTAAAGGAACAGTACAACCCTAAGAAGAAAACAAAAGAGAAAATGATGATGATGATATTGTCACACTACACAAGAGAACACTTTGTAATATACTAATAAAATGTAAGATTTCAAACTAGCAAAAGCAATCACCTCCATTTTATGTTTCCCATTGATGGCTTCCATGGCAGAAACAGCTTGTTCTTTTGTCTCATACTTAAGAAATGCACAGCCTAAACAAAGAACCGAGAAAACCAAATCTCGGTAAAGCACAATGGAAACCAAAGATCACAATAGCGAAGGTCAAGACATAACACAGAGATGGATTATTATTAACCTTTGCTTGTTTGTTGAGCACCTCTTAGAATTTGTAGATCCTTTATAGCCCCATACTTTGAGAATAATGATAGAACTTCAGCTTCAGAGACATTCTTTGGAAGCATACCGACAAAAAGCTTATGCTCTGGATTGCACAATACATTATAACAACACATCCATCAATTGATCATTACAACAATGAAAAGAGAGATCAATCACATACAGAAGCAGTTGAATTCGCGTTACCTAGCCTTTCCAATTCGCCATCTGCGTACTTTACTTGCAATAGACTAGATGCCTGAACAAACATAAAAAAATTTGTTAGATAAAGCATCTCAAAGGTTATCAACAAAGACAATAGAAGAAACCGAAAGAACCATTGTCCAAGATGAGTAAAACACACACAAAATTTCATCTCGATAAATCGCATTTCTCAACCATTGTCACAGAAATGCTTCTCAATCATATTACATTGCCCCATAACCAAGATTACATTGCTTCTCTTGTGTTTACGCAATTTTATATAGTTTTACCATTGGTTACAGTTTTCTTGGGTTTGAAGAAATGAGTACAAAACAATGTCGTAAGATTCCAACAATCGAGAAATTCGATTCTGATTCGGGCAAAAGAAATTGATAGTCCAATTAAATAGAAAGAAAATGATTCGTGCGCAACATTTATAAAAATCACAAATTGCCTATTCTGGAATCAAACAGAAACCAAAAAAAAAAAAGTACATACAACAATGCAGTTTCGG